AACTATAACAGAGTTCATAATGATATTGACCATTTCGCAAGATAGTATCCTTGGTTTATCCTGTCTTCTCATCTTCTTGACACAATTCACCCTGTACCTTGAGAACATAGAATTTCAATGTCCATCAACTTTCTTCATGGCATGGAATTTGACACTACTAACATCCAAAAAAGGGGCAATTATGAGTAAGTGAAAACTTTTTAGGTTTCTACTTGTGTGTTGGATTCCCTGGTATAATGTCTCATAGAATTGACCTTGGATTAGCAATGTAGTATGTGGTTCCATTAAAACTGAAAGCCTCACTTCCGCAGAAAACTGGCCAAGTGATGTGAAATGAACTTGACTTTCATTTATACAATATATGCGCAAAATGTGTTTCTTTTAGTTTGTGACACAGAGACAGTGCAATGAAGGAAAAAGGACTTCTGCATCCTCAAAATATGTTGATCACCTTAGCTTCACCTTGAGTTAGACTGCCAATTAAAACTTGGAATTGATTCAGTTCTCTCTCACATCTGTCTTTCTATGCAGAAGTCCAAAAGCTCTAAATGAGTTGAACTTTCAAATGATAAATTACTTTGTGGAAGTTGTAGAGTTTTGTCACTCCTTAATTTACTAAACAGATGATGAATATGTATTCATGTATAGAATATACACGTGTATATCACCGAGTTGAATAACATCTGCAGACAAGGTTGTGAAGACAAAATAGATGCTTTCCTTAGACGAACATACTTTGTTGATGGAGGATATGACAATAGAGAAGGAATGTTGAAGCTCACAGCTCGAATGGAACAAGTTGAGGTAAATAGTGTCAATCTATTGGAACTGTTATGTGTAGGATTGACATCCTTTCGCTTGAAATTATTTTGGATTTTGTTGATTTGTAATTCGCTAACAGCTGGCCTACCTCAGGGACAATTTGAAGCAAACAGAATGTTTTACCTGTCAGTCCCCCAAGAAGCACTCCTTGATGTTGCATTTTCTCTCTCTGAACATGCTCAAACACAAAAAGGATGGAGCCGTATTATAATTGAAAAACCCTTTGGTTTGGATCTGCTGTCTTCTGATCAGTTCACTCGGTCCATTCATTCAAAATTTGAGGAAAAGCAATTATACAGGTGCAACTGTTAAAATTGCATAGGATCAGATTCATATTTATTTATCAAGTATTTACCATTGATCTGTTTCCCATATTTTCAGGATTGATCATCTTTTGGGAAGGAATACCATTGAAAATCTAGCAGTGTTAAGGTTTTCTAATCTAGTTTTTATGCCACTATGGAACCGAAATTACATTGACAACATTCAGGTAATATTACTAGCTAATTCATTGAGTTGAAAATGTGGCTTTAAGTATTATTCCCGTCTTCACTTCTGTTAACTAAGTTTTGTAGGTTGTTTGGTCGGATGACTTGGCTACGCATGCACAATCAAGGTCGACTACATACATACATACATACATATATACATATATATATATATATATATATAAGCAGCTGAACGTATTTCATTGTCTTATGACTGGTGTTTATTACATAATTTATAATTCTTGAAAGTACCTTTAACTTTTGACTTTTTCTATCAGATATTTGGACGAGAATGGGATTATAGGTGATGTAGTACATAGTCACATACTCCAGACAATTGCTTTGCTTGCTATGGAACCACCTATAACCCTTGATGGTGAAGATGTTCGCAATGAGAAGGCATGTGACTTTTATATATATATATATATATATATATATATATATATATATTTGTGATACCTTTTTCCTGTGCAAAAATTACTAATCTATCTGAGGGTAACACCTTACTTCCGCTAAACTTTTAAACATATTACAGTGCAGTTTTTCGAATCGTTTAAATGGTTTCAGGGTACTGATTTAGTTTTTGTTTTTGCTGTTTCTTTGAGACAAATAGTTTGAATCTGCTTTTTGATGTATCTACTGGGAGCTACTATTATGATTTTGAATTGAAAGACAGCACAATGGATCAGTACCTTTCAATTTTGTCAAGTGTGGTTTAGAACTTAGATTAGTTTTTGGATGGATATGAGCAATGAGGTTAAACTTTGTACATTGAGTGAAAGTGTGCATCTCCTCAAAGTCCAAATTTTTGTCTTTTGTAGGTCAAGGTTTTGAGATCAATCAAGAAACTGGAACCTAGTGACGTTATTATTGGACGGTCCAAATCTGTTTCTGTAGGCAATTCTGCTGACAGTCTAAATCTGGCTCCTACATACTTCGCTGCTGCTCTGTACATTGACAATGCACGTTGGGACGGGGTTCCTTTTCTGATTAAAGCTGGCAGGGGCCTTGGAAAAAATAGGTGGTGTACTTTTCTTTCATCAATGAAGTTTTAATTTCATGAAGTTGTTCAACAATTTAATTGCATAAGTGAGAAATATGGTGATTTTTAATAAAAATTCAGGAGAATTTCCCTCTAACCTGGAATCTGGATTTTACTTGGTGTTTAGAACTGCTTTGATTAGAAATGAGCTACTTCTCTCAGCTTCTGTTCTGGTTTCAATTTCTTCAAACTTTAATTTGTTTCTCAATGACCAATTACAAGGGTACACTGGACATGGACATTTTTGTGAAACCTGCTTTTGACCAATGTTCAACCTGATGCACATTCTCGATGCTCTGTTAAAGAATGAAGCATTTACAGGAAGAAGAATGGTGCATTGTAATCCATACATCGGCCAGCAATACACTTGCATATTTGATAGCGGTGGAGGGTAGTTGAATTGAATGGTGCATTTACGCATCTTTTCAGAAGTTCATAAAGTTCCATCTGTTTCAACTTTCACCTTTTCTGGTTGTATTTTGGATTATCGAGCTTCAATGGTAGCATAGATTCTAGTTCTGGTTATTGTGCAGGACTGGCATCACCTTCCTCATGCTCTCATTCTAAAATTTTGTCTCTATTTGACCATACTTCTTTCCTTTGTATCTCGACTTTGGCTTAGACATGTTATTGACTTGGAGAACTTCTTCTGCAGGGTCGAAATACGCATACACTTCCGTCATGTCCCAGGAAATCTTTACCTCAAGAATACTGCACGGAATAATGATCTTGCCACAAACGAGCTAATTTTACGTGATGCTCCTGATGAGGCAATCCTAGTCAGAGTCAACAATAAGGTCCCAGGATTGGGCATGGAATTGGATGCCTCAGAACTGAATTTGCTTTACAAAGACAAGTATGCCATTTACTTTTCTTCCAGTAGCCTTTTTGCTTTCGTGTGCAATCTTGTGCTATGATGCTAAAGATTAACTTCTTCCTTATGCTTCATAATGCCTGACATTGTCTTGAAATGTCAGGTATAATGTTGAGGTGCCTGATTCATATGAGCAGCTTCTCCACGATATCATAGATGGAGACAACCATCTATTCATGAGAAGCGATGAGGTTTCAGCTGCATGGAACATTTTATCCCCAGTATTGCAGGAGATGGGCAAGAATAATATTCCATCGGAGCTGTACGAGATGGGTAGTAGGGGTCCAGATAAAACAATCTATCTTTGGGCAAAACATAGGGTTCAGTGGGTAGATGACTGATAAAGTCTTCGCACGGCAAAGGGTCCATCTTGGAAATGGTCCTGCCTGCCAGAGTTTGCCCTTGACAGATCGATTTCCATGAACGTGTGGCCTCCTTTACGAGTACATTCGTCATTAACCTTGCTTCCACATCTGTGGGCCTGGTAAAAGAATAAGGGTTTTAAAGCTCTGGTCATGTTTTGGTGATTAAGTCCGCGTGTTGTGGTTACTACAGAGGTGTGAGCATTTAGCAGCAGATTTGTTGCATCTCAAACTTGTATTTTGCTCGTTAAGGGCCAGTCTGATGTAACATTTGCCCCATCTGCAGCCTCATAATCAGCTTGGTGAGGGCCAATTTGATGTAGCGTTTCTTCTATTTACAACCCTATTCTTAGCTCATTAATTTTTGCGCAAAATTTTGTTAAACCATTCCAAAAGCCATCACTCTCTACGGATGAAAGAATGCACCTAGGACATCTTAGAACCGCAGGGGGCACAATATTGGACTCCTAACTATTTGGTAAAAGATTGCTTATGGGAGGGCTTGACTAGAATTTCTCCAAACGATTACAAAGGTCCAAGGCAGGTTGCTCGATAGTTATTGCAGGTTTCTTCCATTTCTCCCATTCCATCGTCGTAGAAAGAAGGGATAAAAATTTTATGTTGGTAAGAGCAACTACTTGACAGGTCTAATAGTTGTTCCGAGATCAATAAAAGAGTCGTACGTAAATATACAAGGGTTATACTTGATTCAATTTAGCATATCCAGTAGTAGACTCCACTTGACATGTGAATTACTGAGGAGGGTTTTTATATACTCACGTGATACTTTTTTATTTGTTTTGAAATAACTACTGGACATGCTTAATACTTGCTCCAAATCGACATAGGATTTTTATCGAAAGTTTTCCAGTTCGAGGGAAGGGATGGGATGGGAATCAAATCTGAGTAGATTTCTTGAAGTGGTGGGCATCCTTTTTCAGAGGGTGGGTGGATTGAACCACATTCAAACTTTCAGAGGAGGTACGGGCAAAAACCGTGTGGAAAATATAGAGGGTGACATTGTGGAGTAGGGAACGCGCTTACCTAGAAACATTCCACCCCAACAAAAAAAAATCGTACAAAGAAGCCGCCAGCAATTGGGCATCATCACCGATATCAGAATATCTAACGTCACCATTATGGGTGGCCATCATTGATCATGCTACTAAATAATGGTTGGGCCAAAGCATTACGTTCACCATCTGACGTAAGAAATGACGCTTATCTGCAATATGTCACTCATCACGACGACACCTTAGAAGTGAAATGTGATAAGAATCAGATTTTTGTTCTTCAGTGCAGATGCTATAAATCAGTGGAAGTGGCTCTGATCATGACCTACAAATTAAAGTACTGACAAGAGACATCGTGATATTTTTTGACCAAGATGAACTGGTGCCCCATCTCAAAATAAATTGTTGGTTTTGTGGTGTTAAAGTTATAGAGACAATTGATTTCTTTATAACTATGCGAAGACCAAAGCAATACAAATCATAGCAGGTCACTTGGACAGACCAGGTTGAAGTCAATCACCCAAATCATATCTATCTTTACTAGTGCTATTCAGGCCACTATCCATCATTCTCAATTCCCAAACAAGCTGCTAGCCAGGCCCTTATTATCTCCAGCCTTGTTATTTTGCAGTATGGATGGGGAGAGGAAGAAGAGAAAGATGGATGATGCAGAAGCAGAAGAAGATAATGAAGAAGAGAAGATGGAGACGTTCTTTGCTTTAATCAGAAGTACTCGAGATATCAGGGAAAGGATGGTTATGAGCAATGCAGATAGGTTAAGGTTAGAGGAAGATCAGAAGAAAAGGGCTAATCATGATCAGAACAAGCCCAGTGCAGTTTGGAACCCCACATTCCAGCCCGGAGATTTCATGGAAGATCAACCAGCTCAGAAGGAGTTATGCACTCCTCCTCCTCCTCCGCCTCCTGGTATGATTATAAACCAAGAAGAAGCAGGCCCTTCAAATTCAAGGAAAGAAGCTGATGTAGCTCAAGATCAAGATGATCATAAAGCTGGAGGTGAACACCATCATGACTTGGACCTCAATCTTTCTTTGTAGCACATTTTGATTAAATGGTAATAGTAGGAAATAATTTTGATTAATGTGCAGTAGGTACAGTACCTATGGCATTAGTTAGAAGTTTTTGAGGTGTAGAACAAATTTTAATACTACACTTAGGTTTTCATATTAACATACTTTAGCTCCATCGATTTTTTTTTCTTCCTTTCTTTTTGAGTTGTGTGAATTAAGAAGTCATCAGAAGCTTCGTGAATGAATAAATGTGCATTAATTCTCACCCGAAACTGACAGGACATGCTACTGACCTTTGAGACACTTGCCATGACTTGTTTAATGCTTCTTGCACCTTAGCATGGATTCAGTTCTGAAAGCATTTACGTATTAAAGTGATGTGTAAAAGGCTTGTCTATTTAGTTTCCCTAGGCCTAGGGCACTGAATAAGAAGTGGATTAAGTTTTTTTTTTTTAATGTGAAAGGATAAATTTCTTCTTCGAATACATTATGAGTGGTAATTTTAGAACACGGGTTATTTGAAATATGACTAGTAAATTTAAAACATTAATAGTCAATATGCTTTCCTTTTTTTGGAGTGCTTATAATATAGGAGAGTTCTATAGTTCCGTTAGGGGTACTCTGCCGCCGATGAAATCAAATTCACTGCTGTTTGATATAAAATAAAAATTATCAACTTTTAAATTATTTTAAGATTTTGAATCAATAAAATGATGTGATAAGATGTAAATGGATTAAAATCTAGAATACCGTACGCAAAAAGAACGTAGCATTTTTCTATAATGTAACATGTTAAGAACTCATGATCCAAACACACCAATAACTTAAAAAAATGCACACACTGGTACACCATACATAGTTTTATGTATTGTTGTACTATTATCTACAAATGTTATTGGCTAAATATTTGGTGTGTTAATTCACAGACTTGTGTAGAAATGTGTAGAAACCACCCAAAAAAAAAAAAAATCCCCCATTGGAAAAACCTCCTTGATCTTTCTTTTGTGGCCTTTAGGAGGCCATGGTGCACCAATTGAGGGGTTGCTATTGTTTAACGAAGTTGGGTCCATTCAACTTCTTTTTCGGTATGTTCACCGAATAAGTTCAACTACTACTAGTTTCAGCTGGTGACTCTTGCTTCAGTAAGAAGTGGGCCGGCTTGAAAACGATATAGAATAGTAGGTGTAGAGCTGGGGCCTGCTTGAAAAGCAAATCATTTTGTTTGGAGTGAAGATTATTTGAAATTTTTTAAGAATAATTATGTGATATATGTAAAAAAATTTTAAAAAAAAATTGATTAATATTTTATACGCTATCAGTGCAAATATTTGTTTACATTAAACAAGTATAGATATATGACACATGAACAAAAAGTGAATTTAAAATTTGAACAGTCATAATATGTCTTTCATCTACGCTTGCTTGTGCAAAAAAATAAAAAAAAAAAATCTATACACTGAAAATGTATAAAAGTTAATAGCTAAAGAAAATAGTTAAAAAAAGGATAATTAAGAAACCTATTTATTAATCAATTTTATTTTCAAAATAATCCAAACAGGAGAAAGCAAGAATATCCTTCTTCAGGTTGGTAAACCTTCATAGTTGATCCTTCGACTTGATCAACCAATCAACTAAATAATTAGTCTAATCAGAAATGCTTTACAACATTGGAGAATTGTCCCACAGGCCATGGCTTTGAAAATAAAGGTACATACTGCACACGCATATATATATATATATATATGTATATGTATATATTTCAAGTTATGAATATAGTATGTGACCTAACCAGCAAATGGTTAGGGGTTAAAAACTCAAAAACCCGTAAGTTTCTGCTCCTTGCATCAGGGCTTCACTTTAGTTTTCTGCTTTGTTTCCTTTAGTGAAGACCTGCACCCAAAGATCAAGTTGGTTAAGCAAGAAGTCTTGATTGAGTAATCAGATCAATGCGCCAAATTTTTATGAACAAAAAAAAAATTTGTGACCTTAGCAACTGTGGATTCATTGAGCACTAATTGCTGCTCATCTTTAATCAACTTCTTGAAGGAAAATATTTGACCGTTGCATTTGAATAGAAATTATTTGTCAAAAAATTAGTTGTTTATATTACAAATATATTTTTTAATATACTTTTTTTCTTTTTAATCACTTTTTTATTTTTCATAAATCACATCGCAGGATCGAAATTCCACTAACTAAAGAGCCAGCTTTTTGGACATTGTGTCGTCCGTCTCAGTAGTTAGTTACGTCCCAAAAACATTCCCTGCTAGCAAGGTTTGAACTAGGAAAAGGTACTTCCGTACCTGAATAGAATTTCTCATCTTGGCACTTTAGAATTAATCGCTGACATCCACAATTAGAGTCGGCCTCCTTGCTCACTCTTTATTCTAAAATGGTGTGCTTATTATACTTTTTGCCCTCCATCTCATAAATTGAGTCGTTTTTTAGGAAAGTAATTTTTTAAGGGAACATATACTTATTGATTATTATATTTGGATGAGTTGGATTTGGATAGTTTTACATTATTATCCTTATATTTAAAATTTAAAAGTGTGAGAAATATATAAGTAGATGGAAAAGGCTATTTTTTTTTAAATGACAAAGTGAAAAAATTAATGAAATATTGCATTGACTTTTAAAAGAATGACTCTTATTTTGCGATTTTCAAAAACTGAAAATATGCATGATATTAACAAGGGAAAATTTCATAAATCTCTACTGAAGTTTTTGAAAATTTACACTTACCTCTTTTGGTGTTATGAAAATACTATGATAGCCTTGACAACTCTATAACTTCTAAGTGACAAGTGGGTGTAAAAAAAAAAGGAAAATCGCTTTTTGTAAATATTTCTTTATCCAAAAGTTCTAACATCGTCTCACTTAATACATTATATTCAATTTCAAGGTAATTTAAATGGACTTTTGGCTTAGTTTTATAAATAGCCGACTACTAGGGATGCATTTGTTAAAAAATAGTTTCTTTACAACTTATTTAGAAGTTCAAACATTAAAAAATGATGTCTTGAAACATACTCTAAATTTTGCTGCAAAGAACTATCTTAAAACTTTTTACTTAGCAAGTAATGCTGATATTTGATTTCTTTTATAATTTAATTTGTTTTGTAAATTAAATAGGGGTAATAAAAGATATTCATTGGACTTTTTGTGCTTACATCACTATTTGTTACCAAAACATGCTTTTTAGGTAAGGTTTTCATAATTTTCTAAACCTCAAGAGAGATAGGTACAATTGTTACAAACCTCAGGGAGAGGTTTCTGAAATTATCCCTGTTAACAAATGGACAGGTAGGGGTGTGCAAAATCGAAAAATTGATTTATCGACCGAATTCGAATTGAATTCGAAATTTTCGAAATCGGTAAATCGGAAATCGGAATCGAATTCGGGCTTTCCGAATTCATGTATTTCGAATTTGGTTCGAATTCGGTAATGGAGTTTTTCAAATCGGAATTTCCGATTTCGAATTCACAATTTTGAAATCGGAATTCGAATTCCGATTTCGATTTCAAATTCGTTTTTAATATATAAATATATTTTGTATACATGTAATATAAAATTTATACTATATAAAATTTATATAATATAATATAATATTCTATTATATTATAAATTTTATATTATATAATAATATATAAATTTTTTCGAATTCGGTGAAATCAGAATTTACCGAATTCCGAATTCGGTACGAATTCGAATTCGAAATTGGTGAATTCGAAATCGAATTCGGTCGAATTATCAGGTACCAAAATTTCGATGCACACCCCTATGGACAGGAGAGTATAATATAATAATAATACGGAAAAAAAAAAAAGAAAAAGTGCCACGATTAATTGCCTTGAACAAAAATGAACAAACAAATCAACTACTCTTTCTCGCTCTCAGATGAACCTTTTTCTGGGATTTGGCCTGTGGTGGGTCAAACTTGCAGCCATAATTACTGCATATGGATGGTAGACCACATCCAGAGGACAGCGGATAGTGGAAATTGATTTGATTTGAAATTGACATATGAAATTGATTATGGAAGACAAAGTTTAGTAAGTGACAAGTTTTGTTACGATATTTTAATATATGGAATAATTGCAGAAACCTCCCCTGACTTTTATAGTAATAGCATTTACCTCCCCTATCAATTTTGAAATAGCACTGACCTCCCCTATCAAAAGTTGGAGGCAATTTAATAGGCAAAAGTGGGTCAATTTACTAAAGTATCCCTGACATGATTTAATTTTACCAAATGAATGTGATGAGTACTTTCATCAAACCCAACAAAACATTTGTTAATAAAAATTACACTAAATTAACTATTTCTGCATAGTTTAACTAATTAACTAAATAACTAATAATCTAATTAATTAATAACTAATTATCTAATTAACTATTAACTAATTATCTAATTGTTAATAGTTATTAACTAATCAAACTATTTCTGCATAGTTAAACTAATTAACTATTAACTAATTATCTAATTAACTATTAACTAATTAACTAATTATCTAATTAATTAACTAATTAACTAATTTTTATTTATGTAATTAACTAATTAACTAAAGCTGTTGTCTGTCCGAAACTAACAAACTATTTGCATGTTAAACTAATTAACTGCTTAACTAATTGACTACCTAATTATCTAATTAATTAATTAATTAATTAACTAATTTTTGTTTATCTAATTATCTAATTAACTAAAATTGTTGTCTATCCGAAACTAACAAACTATTTGCATGTTAAATTAATTAACTAATTAACTAAAGCTGTTGTCTATCCGAAACTAACAAACTATTTGCATGTTAAACTAATTAACTAATTAACTGCTTAACTAATTAACTAACTAATTATCTAATTAATTAATTAACTAATTAACTAATTTCTGTTTATCTAATTAACTAATTAACTAAAACTGTTGTCTATCCAAAACTAACAAACTATTTGCATGTTAAACTAATTAACTAATTAACTAACTAACTAATTAACAAACTATTTGCATGTTAAACTATATGCAGTACGCATTATCTATTTAAAATATCAGCTCTTTATGGGTATTTTATTTTCAAACATTTAATTTATGATAAAAACATCGATGTTTGTAAGTAAAATTCAAAAAGTGTTACAGTAATATCCTGCCATCCGGTACAGACAAATCCCTGAAAAGCAAA